GGAATTGGAGATACGCGTGGACAAGGGATGGCCGTATCTTTGTGCGTCAAGGGAAAAGTGCCCCACGGCACCGCATACGTAGTGATACGTAGTGCCAGTGATCTTGTTCGGGTTTTTTGCTCCCTTAAGCACCCACCAGCACAGGACTGTTGGCTTCACTGGCAGTTTCCGCTACCGGGCGACTAAATGCTGGAATAACATACCTCCACCCATAAGGCTTATTCCGTGCGGACAGACTTTTAAAACACTTATAAAATCATCTTTATTAGAACTTCAGAATTGAATATCCAGAAATTAGTTGGTTGGGTGCGGAGGTGTCGGTGTTGGTGTTGTGTACTTTAATTTTATTTTCACCGAAACTATTTTCTCTCATATTAATTTATCTAATATTTTTGAAGTTATACTTCTTTAGGCGCGTTATGAAAAAATGATGAGAGTGAAATTTTAAGATGCGCGCGCATCACTGTAACACAAAATTTTGTGTTTACCGCACATTAAGAAAATCTACCAACAAAATAGAAAGAAAATCTCTATTTAGTGGGTGCTAACGACTGCATTGTGAAGGCCTATCAAAAGTATTTATTAATCTGGAACAACGGAACCAAAGCGCGATTCAGGAGACTACAGCGCCATCTCTTGACCATTGGTGTAGTAGAACCAAAAACCACATCTTTATTTTTTGTAATAAAGTAACAGTTATAGGTATTCATATTTATAGTATCAAAAGTATTTATTAATCTGGAACAACGGAACCAAAGCGCGATTCAGGAGACTACAGCGCCATCTCTTGACCATTGGTGTAGTAGAACCAAAAACCACGTCTTTATTAGGGTTCCGTACCTCAAAAGGAAAAACGGAACCCTTATAGGATCACTTTGTTGTCCGTCTGTCCGTCCGTCCGTCTGTCAAGACCCTTTTTCTCAGGAACGCGTGGAGGTATGAAGCTGAAATTTATATCAATTACTCAGGTCTACTGTCCCTTGAAGCTGTGAAAAAATCAAACTTCTAAGCCAACGCAATCAAAAGATACAGCCGTTTATGTCGCAAATTTTCGACACTTGCAAGGGAATCAAAACCTACAGGGTGCTTCCCGTGAACTCAGAATCTTGAAATTTGGTACCAAGCAACGTCTTATAGTATAGATAAAGGAAAAATTACGAAAACCATAAATTTTTAGTTACATCACATAATATATTTTTTTTTAATAATTTTAACCTTACTACCCATTTCCTCATAAACGCGTAGAGGTATTAAATTGAAATTCATACCAAATACTCAGGTCTATAATACCTTTAAGCTGTAACCAAATCAAACTTCTATGTCGACGCAATCAAAAGAAACAGCAATTTAAGCTGCATATTTTGAAACTCGCAAGTACTCGCAAGGGAATCAAAACCTAAAGGGTACTTCCAGTCGACCTAGAATCTTGAAATTTGGCATGAAGCAACGTTTTATAGCACACATAAAGGAAAAATTCCGAAAACCTTAAATTTTTAGTTACATTACAAAATATATATTTTTTAATAAATATAAACTTATTACTTTTTTCCTCATGAACGCGTAGAGCTATCAAGTTGAAATTCATATCAAATACTTAGATCTAATTGCCTTTAACCCGTGAAAAAAAAATTCTAAGTCAACGCAAAAACGCAAAACGCAAAAGTACAACCATAGATACCGCATATTTTGAAACTCGCAACTACACGCAAGGGAATTAAAACCTAAAGACCACTTCCCGTTGACATAGAATCTCGAAATTTGGTAAGAAGCAATAGCTTACAGCACAGGTAACAGAAAAATTCCGAAAAGCTTAAAATTTTAAGTAGTTATACCACCAAAAAAATTGTGATTGTAAACATAATTGTAGTTACAGCAATGACCGCGAGTTATTATACTATGTATGGGGAGGGCAACATTTTTCAAACGGTAAAGACGACCTCACTCATCGTCATTCAATCCCGATGTTTTGGTGAATGTAGCTGTATAATCTAAATGCGTCCTAACTGCTTAAAGTGTTAATGTTGCAATAGAATGTATAAATACAACAATATTCGGCAGCAACCTCAATATGTACACTTCATCTTTTCGTCTGATTGTTGTGGGAGACTTCAATATAGATTTTAGAATGAATCCCCAAAATGGAATTTCCACATATTTTTCATCCATAAACATGTTTCCGTTAATAAACAGTAGCACTACACGAAGTTGTACAACTATTGATAACGTTTTTTCGAACTTCAATGTTCAATGTGGTACTATTCATAACTTTTTCAGTCACCATTTACAGGTCTGGTTCAAATTTAATACTTAATTAATATTTTTGAACCAGATTTCTAAATAGTGACTAAAAAACTTAGTAAATAAATAACTTTAATAAAAGAACTTTCGCAAGTCTGCTGCAAGGCTAGTATAAGTGTTTCAGTTATATTATAGATAAATGATATGTGTTAATATAAAATAAAGGATTACTTAAACGATAAAGAGATCTTTGTCTTAAATTTATGCTCCTCCATCTTTCCCCATTGTAATGTTATGAATTTCATTTTGCAATAAAAATACCATAGTTATGACTCGATTGTCGTAATGAACGAACTTTGTAAACCTTGCAGGTTTGTACGGAACCCTCGGTGCGCGAGTCCGACTCGCACTTGGCCGGTTTTTTTTTTGTAATAAAGTAACAGTTATAGGTATTCATATTTATAATATTTATCCACATGTTTCTAGTTTGTATATGCGGAATAGTCTTGAGTTTCATACAAGTGCAAATCACATATGTTCTAATAAATTATGTTCAGTAGCGATTTTAATTGAATATTTTGATTATTTATTTATTTTTTCAAATTAAAACTGAACTTTATTGACTGTGTCCTTTTCCAAACTTTTTATTAATTTATTGTAATTAATTATTTGCATGCAATTAAAAACTAATTTTAAACGATGCCAAAGAAAGATAATTTCTCACGCGCCTACATAAGTACACGCACCCATTTTTTTTTATGTAAATGTACCATAATAATAATAATATATCTAATGAATGTGTACTTAATTATGGTATTTAATTTAATTTTAATTTCGTTTAGTGTAATTTTGAATTTTAATCTGACATTTAAATGTAAGACCTCATCTATATGGGTCAGAACTGAAAATCAGCGATTTACTCTCTAAGTAAATGTTTCGCTGAGTTTTCGCCCATTCGCATCGCTGCTGCACACGAAAATACTATACTATAGATGTATAAATAGAATTTGCTGCCTGTTTAAAAGGATTTATCTAATTGTAAAATTTGTCTTGTCAATTTTGTATGACTGTGTGCATGTTGGTATGAATATAGTCTTATCTATCTATCTTTTTAACCATGTTTATCATGGTTTATCTTACAATACCAGAAAAAAATGTATATAAACGGAAAGATTTCTGAGAGTGTGCCCTCTGTTAAACTATATGGATCTGATATAAATATTTAAAAAAATAACATTTTCTAAAAATTATTATTTCTTTCGCCGTGTTTTGCTTGCTTGTTGCATTTGACCGCAAAAGTCACGGCGTTGAAAAGCGGCGCCAACAATACCTACAAAATAAAAGCGACTTTTAAATCTAGATAGCGCTTTTACAAGTTATAAACTTTTTTGAAGTGAAACATTTTTTCGAACGGGGTGTAAATGGAAAAATCCAATGCAAAAGAGTGGAATGGATTGCGTGAGCAGCTCTTCCCGATGAACGTAAAAGTTGGAGGGTAACTCGGCGCAGGCTGAAACGCTGCGAGCGTCACATGCGACAATATATGACCATATAGTAGATTTGCTCACTTCATGAAATACTCGAGAATTTCACTAGGGATGAGGTACAAAGTGCGGATGAGAATCAATGCCGTACAAAGAGATACTTACGCATGTTTCAAGAACAAAACACTTTGTACTTCAAAGTGCCACCAAAGTTTGTCATGCGCCAACAAATGACTGGGTAAAACTGTACTTCCAGTGCCCAAGAGGTGATACTTGATTTTTTTTGTAAAGGTTTCTTTCGTGACATTTTTGATGTTTAATTTAGAAAAAAAATCTTTCATTTGTCATTCGGACTTAAATGACAATAAACAAGTTCTTAAGATATTCTGGATTTTTATTAAATATTTTATGGACACCTTAATTATACGATCCGGCCAAACGTGGATGACAATATCGTTAAATGTTGACGATTAATGATCTGGTGAAATTAAGTTGCCCACATCATGAAATGTGACCATTTCATGAAATTCTCGAGCATTTCATGAAGTGAGCAAATCTACGATATGGCCACGACATATATACATATATATGAGTGATGCGTGCATTGCCCCATTCCCCTACGCCTTATGCACCGCTTAATGTTAGGTTATTTAAGAAAACAAGTTTCACTTCCGATGTGTGCTCCGTGCACACAATTTTTATTTAAATAAGTTTCGTTGTTACAAGTCTACTGCCAAAGTTCCCATGTGATCCACCGAAATATTTATTTCGCCACTTAATTCCCTTAAATGCTCTAGAATGAAAAAAAATTAACTGAAATTTAAAACGAACTAAATGTTATTGATATCACCTCTTAGGCGGCTGTTCTCCAGCCTCAATCGCCTGTTGACCACGCGATCCACAGATGTTTATTTCACCTGTTAATATCCCCTGGTAACAATGAAAAAATAAGTTACTGACGATCTCCGTTGCCGAGTGGTTTATACGCCGGGTTTAATGGTGTCGGTGCCGGTGGGGGCAGATGTTTGTGTGTTGAATACCAACATTTGTACTCCAGTTCATGGCTGTTTAATATGTATTTTTATATAAATATATTTATATATTATATAAATATATTTATTCAATATATGTATTCTATCCATTACCCTAGTATCCCATAACACGAGCCTTACTATGCTTACTTTGGGGCTGGGCTACTTGGTGTGAGTGTTGGAAATATATATTTATTATTATTAATTATTAGATATTTCATTAGTTATTGTCAATATCACCCCACAGGCGGCTGTTCGAGGGTCTCACTAACCTGTTTCGCTTTTCCGCCAATGAGAACCACATGAAGGTAATCGCCCCGGACACGTTCTGGGGCACCGATCTCCTATACGAAGTATCCCTGACGGACAATGAGCTCACGCTGACCACTGACGAGGATGAGGATATGTGAGTATTTTATTAATCTCATCATTATTATTATACCATACGATGCCCACTGCTGAGCATAGGTCTTCGCCAAACATCACCTAGGCAGCACTTAATCCGATACCTCGAACATTCGGGGTCCAGGAACACAGGCCGATCTTACTTTGCTGAAATGAAAACGAGCTCACGGATAATGGACGATGACGAAGATCTGTAAGTTATTGCATTCACAAACACAGATAATGCAGGTGTGTGTACTTCATGTTCAAAAAGCATGCTAAATCTCTCGCCTGGTGTATGACTCGTGCTCCTGCAGGAACTATCCTTGGTGGATAACGAGCTAACAATAAAAGTAAGCATTACTACGGAAGAGAATGAAGACCTGTAAGTTATTGTGTTTATCTAAGCTACACTGTGGATCTCATCAGAAGGTCACACAGTGAACAATGAAGAAAGGGATCTCGGTCTTTGGTGAGTGCGAATGACTGCAGATGCAGCCAGGACCAACGGCTTAACGTGCCTTCCGAAGCACGGAGGAGCTGGATATAATAAAATTTTTGGTCACCCATGCAATGACCGAACTTGCGCCAGCTCCTCACTCATTTCGCTCTACATGATATTATAGAGTTCTACCCAGAAGGGATAGAACCTGGGAGCGTAGATGTTAATTGAAAGATACTGATAGAGATAAGTTATTTATTTCGTTTTATCATTCAGGCTAATATAAAAGTATTTTATCTAAATACGAGAGGAATTCTTGGCGCCTGAAGATCTAATAATCAATGGAACCTTCTATCAAAAGACAGACGATTCCTCATTTCAAATCTTAAAATCATGACATTATCTTTTTAATATAACTGCCAACCGTAGGCATTGCAAAAGCAAAGAGTTTACCTAAACAAGGAGGTTGTAACATCACGGACGTTACATCCCTCCGGCGCCTCTAAAAAAAAATTGTTTTGTCATACCAGATGACCGAACAAAAATTTTTTTTTTTACCTACTACATCGAGAGGGTTCGACGGTCCTATCTAAAATCCCTACCTGCTTAAGGACATAAATACAACTGGGAGGTGGCCTTTACTACAGACTAGCCCTCACAATAAGTTTGCAAAACTTGCAAAAAAAAAAAAAAAAACTTTACGGGAAAAGAACCCTAACTGTTTGCAAAGTTTTATTGCAAAGACTTTACGGGAGCAAAACCTTAATAAAATCCCTCGCACATCTCCCTCCTAACCTTAACTTTACTTTACATCGACATCAGTCGGCAAAAACAAAAAAACAAAGCTAACCCTAGCTATAACTTAAATTACCCAAGCAATTTTTATTTTATCCCATCTATCAGCAAAACTTTACCCTATCCCATTTATTAAACCATTAAATATCAAGAAAATTTATATTTTGAAACTTCATTACTTCCCATACTAAGTAGATGTACGAAACGAAACCAAACTATTTCCTAAGATTCGTAAACATTGAACTGGATTTGAGCAAAACCTAAAAGAATTTATAATTAATGTTTACTTTCGTACATCTTTAATAAAGATACAGACGTGATCCACCACTTTATTGTCTTGTACATTATTAGACACCCATGATGCGCAAACGTAATAGAAATTTTGGGTAAGGACATCTAGCATCAAACTAGATTAAACCTAATTCCCATGGAATACTAAGGGTTCCCTACCCCCAAGTCAAACTACTACAAGTGACGATTTTGACGAACGCGACGCGACCAAATTGAAACGAAAACGACGCGAATTCGTAGAGGGTGTCTCCATCATCTTCAGGGTGGATCATCGTCAGTATCGCTGACGTCTGCATGAGCGCCAGCCTGCTCTCTCTCGGGAAGTCCGCATCATGTGGTAGTACATAAAACAATCAAGAAAATATTAGTAAAATCCTTTACACCATTTTTCTTCAGTCGGGTAAGTTAATATTCATGAAAACATTAAGTTTATGATAAGTCTTTATACCATCTTTTCATAGTTGGATAAATTTTCAAAATTTAACATTATTATTCATTTATTTATTTTTTAACCTTACAGGGAATCGAACCCGTTTCCTTTTTTATAATAAGGGAATTTTCTTTATGGACCTATATTATCCTATTATACATTATTAACTATATATATTTTATCCTAATGCTGAATTAATCCTACCAATGATCATATTCAAAGTCAATTGAATAATTCCAAGTTGAACAGAGAATCGAACCTGTTACCTATCATTCTTATGGTTATTACGATATCAATAATCCACCTACTCAACAAATTACACTAAAGCTAACAATTAAAAGAAATGAAAATACTTTAATGAAACTACCTATTGATCTGTCATAAACAAAATGTGTAAAAGTTCCTTATAATATGTGTATTGAAAAAAATTTCTAATAAAATGACAAAGTTATATTTAATATGCTTTTGAAATAAAATTCTAAAATGACTATTGTATTGAACCTTATTTACATACCACCATTGCTTTAAAACATTTATATAAACAATAAACTGAAATAAAATCTCATTAGTAACACATTATTATTGTAGTACTATCAACCTATTCGGCATAATATAAATTTTCATCATACACCGAATTATCACTATTCCTTTCGTTATTCATTTTTATATATTGTCTTTTAAACTTGCACTTAATATGTTTGATTATTAATTGTTCGTTACAAAAATCTATTATCGCATTATTTCGAAGAAAGAAATCCTGTCCTAAGATGAGGTTATGCCTAATATTTTCTAACACAAAAAAATCGTGAATGAATAACACATTGTCTTTATGATTTTATTTATTTTTTAGGCATTTAACTGCTAGATGTATAAATCTAAAGAAAAGTTTACTAGAAAAAAATCCACGCGGACCAGGCAGCGGACGGGACACATTGTCTATCAATAATTTAAGGTTAACTTTCCCTATAACAGACAATTCTTTACCATCGACAGCTTTCAACTTCATATCGCTTTCATCAATTTGTTGATGAATTCGACTAACTGTGTCCTTCGACACCACAGACACTGCAGCACCACTATCAATGAGCCCTACAAACTCCTTGTCACGACACGTTATATTAATTAATGGTTTGGACTCACTTGTATACTGACTGTTGTTTTCTGACGGCTGTGAATGGTGAATTTCTTTATCAGCCATCTTCATTGAATCTTCTTCATAAAAAAATTTCTTCATTTGCTTCTTCTTCTTTGTTTTTTTCTTTTTGTTCATATTGCTGGAACAAAATGTGCGGGGAATCATGTGTTCGGGAGGGACAATGGGATGAGAAAGGACACTTTGGAAGGAAATGAAGTTGATTTCCTTCTCTTGTTCTTCTTCATGCCTTATTATAGGCGAAATTTTCGCCGCTTCGAAGTTTGTCATTGGTGTAACAAACGATGGTTGGATCGGCAGATTCCAACAAATTTCGGCACTTTCGTCTCCGAAAATATCCTGTGCTTGACGTAAAATATTTTTTAAATGTGTTTTATCACTATATAACTGAAATGCGAAAAGATTTTTTGTATTTAAATTCGCATTTTTCAAGAACTGTCTAATGAAGCATTTGTCATCGATGACAGCTCCCGCTTTTGTGGCCAGCTCATCCAATATATAAAAAAAGGTCAATGGCTCTTCTGACAAGCCTTGTCTTCGTGAGAAAAATTTTTCCAACGCATTTATCGATGATGGAAATTCCTCACAAATTTTCTTTTCTAGAATCTGAAAATTCTCACAAGACTCGTTAATTTTTTTATAGAATAACAATGCAGGTCCACTTAAATATGCCGACAACACAACTCTTTTTGTATCCTCGTTGAAATTATTGATGGCGGCGATGATATTAAATTGACGAAAGAAATCGGTTACATCACCTTTTCCGTCGAATGTGGTCCTGGTCTCCATCTTTTTTAAAACTATTTCTTTCTTGATTTAAAAATATACTTCACTCGCGGTATTAGAATCTAACGCGGCGCGTCCACCATATAGAGTTCTACCCAGAAGGGATAGAACCTGGGAGCGTAGATGTTAATTGAAAGATACTGATAGAGATAAGTTATTTATTTCGTTTTATAATTCAGGCTAATATAAAAGTATTTTATCTAAATACGAGAGGTATTCTTGGCGCCTGAAGATCTAATAATCAATGGAACCTTCTATCAAAAGACAGACGATTCCTCATTTCAAATCTTAAAATCATGACATTATCTTTTTAATATAACTGCCAACCGTAGGCATTGCAAAAGCAAAGAGTTTACCTAAACAAGGAGGTTGTAACATCACGGACGTTACAATATATTATTTTTATTTATTATTTTAAAGACCCACAGTTAATTTAACAGAAAATATAAGAACATACTGTAGTAACAAATAGCCAATTATAGGTCCTCACAGATAACAACAGATTAGATTAATAAAGACGCACTATTAACTTAGAGCATATACCAATGGGGATGCCATACCCTTCACTCGCCGAAATTTTTCACCATTTTTGGTGCGGGACGAGGTACATACGTATAGCACACTAACGAAAATATGCAATACTGCTGTTGCTATAGACGCACACTTAAAAAATTACGTCATACAAAAAAACGCAAACACGTTAACAATTTTTATGTAAATAAGCAATAGGGGTGGTGACGGGGTACAGTAAACGAAATTCTATTTAGTCCGTCAGTTAGATGATCAAAAAATAATGGACACGTATTTTTTCTTTGGGCAATCAACCAAAAAATGACAAAGTTATAGCGCGTCAAAGTTTGGGAGGAGGGGCTCCCTAATTTTCACTTAAAAGTGTATCAAAACGTGACGTCATGCGACTTTTCAAATCAATATATCTCTGCAATGTTTATATTATGTAAAAAAGGAAAAAATACGTGTCCAATACTTTTTGATAGTCTACCTAATAAAAGAAAGAAGAAAAAGAATTGTCATCATCCCTATTGTTCGAGCGTACACCAAGACAAAAGGGATGGGACATTAAAAAAATTAAACATATCTGAATGAACAGTTCTTGATGAAAATGTT